CACAAGGTTGGTGGTCCAACCCCATCAGCTGCTCCTTGGAACCCACTTGAAAGCATTTAACAACCACAACGTGGTATGCCAGAAGAACAAACAAAACTGTCTTAGAAGAAGTACAGCTAGAATTCTCCTTAAAATGTAAAACATCATCATCTCACATACTCTGGACATGTTATCAGAAGGGACCATACCCTGGAAAAGGACATTCTTCTTGGTAAAACTCCAAAACACCAAAAATGAAAAATTTCACAAATAATCTCTTAGGAGGGTGAAGAGTGATTGCCTAAGAAATCCAAGCTTAAAAAGAAACAAATAAGTTCTCGTGGAGATGATTCTAGAACCATTTCTACTGCTAACTGGGTGATTTTATTTCTCTATCAGTTTCCTTGGGAGTCCTGGTCTGGCATTGTGAATTAATGTACTGGACTGCAAAGTTGGTTTGAACCACAGGACACACGGCTCAAGCTCACTAGCCACACCTCAGAAACTCTATACAGGGTCGCTATGGGTCAGAACAGACTCTGTGGCACTGGATAACAATAGCAATCAGTTTCTTTACCTGGATTGGAATACTCCTGATGTCCTTTCCATAGCTACTCTCTGTAATAGGATTGGTGTTAAGTGCCACTGAGTCAGTTCCAACTTGTAGCGACCCTGTATAGGGTTCCCAAGGAGCACCTGGTGGGACTGAACTGCTGACCTTATGGATTACAGTCCAGTGCTGATCCTACAGCACCACACCAGGAGTCCTATAACTGTATAAGGGTACGTATATCATCAAGCAGCCATTGTGCTGCTAACTGAAAGTTCAATGGTTTGAATCTGCCAGTCACTCTGAAGGAGAAAGATAAGGCAGGTTGCCTCTGTAAAGATTCACAGCCTCAGAAACAGTACGGAGAATTTCTACTCTGTCCTGTGGGATCACCATGAACTATCATCAACACAACAGCTGTGGGTATCTATCATCTGTGTGTGTACCTAGATATTAATCTGAGCTTGTGATCATTTGTTTTAGAAATCATCGCGTCCAAATCAGCATCTTACACCTCCTCGAACAAAGTGAAATACAGCTTTACAAAAATCATGAAAAGTCAGTGCATCCTGAATAACATCCTTTCTCAAAGTTTAATTCGAGACCCAACAGGACCATACCTCACAGCTGCTGCATTAAATAATCCCGACGATGCAGGTAAATGGCGAGCTCTGTCATTCCCCCTCTTGTTTATTTACTCCTTTCAGATTTTTACTTTTATAAAAATAAAACTCTCTAGATTCCTGGCTTTGTATAATTCTACAACAGGATGAAACCCATCATCCCTGGTAAAACTCCCTAGCAAGGATATCATTTAGCCAAATCTAGGCACTTAACAACAACAAGAAACTCCACACGAAATATGTTCCTTGTTTTTGAGAGCACTTAGTGGAGTACTTCTTGCTGAGTGCCGACGAGTCGATTCCGACCCATAGTGACACTGTATAGGGTTTCCAAGAGCAGCTGGTGAGCTTGAACCACCAACCTTAAAGGTCAAACAGCTTTGCAGTCTGGTGCACAGTGCCACAAGAAGACAAAAAAGAAGGAAAAGGTTAAAATGGATGTCAGAAGAGACACTGAAACGTTCAAAGGTCAGCTCAAGAAGATAAAGCCAAATATTACAATAAAATGTGCAAAGATCTGGAATCGGAAAACCACAAAGGAAGAACATACTCA